TAGTGTTCTCTGTGATGTTTTCTCTGCATTTAAGGAACCACCCGGGATAACTAGCATTTTTAAGTGAAGTGCTGGGAACTCAAACATGTAGATTTAAAGGAAGCTTGTTCCTCTGCAGATGATTTAAATGTTAAGTATGTGCCTATGTCGAGGATACACAGAATGGAATCTAAAAACTGTTATCTCCTGTAGAAATGAACCTTCAATTTACTCACCGCACAGGAAGGGCAGATTCTAGTCATTTGCACTGCCAGCAGGTGCCCTTTCTCTGCATAATGGGCTTCGCATGTGTAATTAACACATGAAGACTGCTGCTGCCAGCTTTTTCTTCAGGTACATGCTGCTAGGAGTTTTCAGGACAACGATGTGGACCACAAGAGGCTTTTACGCTGGGTTTGAAGATTAGGTATTCATCGACTTTCTGACAAAGACATGTTAAAAGGGCCTAAGTCCAGATCCCGCAGTTGGGAGCAGAAGTGTGCAAAAAGCAAACACTTGGGCAGTGTACCCAAGGAAATAAAGACACAAGTCATTGAGCTCTACTGAATGAATTCTTTCATGGCATACCACCCTGTCCATATAACGAATGAGCCAGCCAGTGTGTGAAAAGTATGATTTTAAAATATATAATTATTAGCCAGATTGTAATTGCATGCTCACAAGTACAACAACTGATTACCTCAGCCAGATATGAACTTTAATTGGAGACATAGCTACACACACTGTAATTGTTTGAATAAGTCAATTTAGCAACAATTTATGTGCCATAAGTATATTTCTCAAAATAGAGTCCATCTATTTTGTAACCATGTGAACTTAGAGACGTCATTTTTGCCCAGGAGGACTGAGAAATCAGCTCCGTGCTCTCTGCTTTAAGGCAGTATTATTGCTTATTGGTGTCTGCCTCTTAAGGGAAATGACCTGAGATTATTTAAAATAAAAGAGTTGAATTCAATTTTAATTATTGCCTGGTTATTTCTTTTGCAAATGTGACATAAGAATTTTAAAGAGCTGAAATGGAAACAAAATTTAAAGTAAAGAGAATTCTTCAGTTCTTATGAATACAGAATATCATGTTCATTCAGTTGCCTGTTTCCATTTATTGACTGTGCGGTATGATGCTTTTGAATCTTCTCCCGCACTTTTGAAAATAGCAGAAGGGTATATAGACTGTATTACTCATGATCTTTGAAAGTTTTTGAAAAATGTATATTCCACCTGTGATTATTTGCTCTTAATTGTTTGAGTTGCAGTGGAAACTTTGCATATAAAGGAAACTTCTAAGGTCCTGACTGATACAGTGACAGCTCCATGGTTTTGAAATTTGAAATTTGTTGTATTTCCTGGGGAGGGAATAGGGACACAACAACTATTGGATCTTTCCAGAGCTACAAAAAGGTAGAATAGCTCTCTTTGCAAAGGGCGAATGGGTGGAATAACTAACTCTCCTCCTGCCACTTGAAGATCCTTTTGGCCAGCTTCACGTAAGGGAAACTTCAGGCTCAGTGTGGAGAGTTCCCTTTAGCTGTTGAAAGACATGCGCTTTTCTGAGTGAGGCAGGAAAAGGTGGGCGGTTGGATAATGTTACAACTGAATGGCAGCTCTTCCACAAACATCCTCAATATGAACCTTTTTAACTGACATTGTTAAAGCTCAAGTTTCTTCTATAGCATTTTGTCCTTTATTGACATTTTACACCAAGTATTTTCAAACTTTCAAAACACTGTCATTTCTCATTTTTTTCAGTTTGCTCTTTGCTAATTTTTTTAACTTACAATGCAGAAGGGGGGTAATTTTCTTCCCATTTCCCTCTTGAAAGGATTATTTTAAACTTAATATACCTGCATTCCTCATTCATGTACCTAACCACAGAACTGAAAATGCCAAAAGCCTATATCTTCAAAATGTTTGTTCTCGATAGACTTGCTCTTTGTATTAGGAATGCTGAGTCAATAATAGTGGTGTAGTACCATGTGCGTGTATCTGGAATTACTTCAGTCATCTGATCCCTATCATTTAGATTAATTTGGGAGGGGGGGGTGAAGCAAGGGGAAGAGTGCTATCCTTTATTTTTATTTTTTTAATTAGCTACCATTCTTTGATATATTTTCAGCCCAGGGAAAGATTTTGGGTGGAGGAGACTAGAAATTGGTGGGAATCCTATCATTAGATTTCACACCTTGATGCACAATTGCTTCTTCCTTTTAATACAGAATGACAGAGGAAACATATGAAGCACTGCTGGTTGGTTTTTTGGTTTTGTTTTTTTTAAAAATGTACATGCCAGCAGGTGCCAAAAGTACTGGTTAATGAGATACTGCCACCAAGCATCAGTAGCCAAGCACATACAACTCCTTAAACTTGGCCAGATCTTGTCCATCTATTTTGTTGTTTGGAATTTAAACATTTCTTGATGTGAAAGAAACAGTCTATTAATTTTCCTCACTACTTCTCCCAGTTTGTTTTTCATGTGGCATAAAAACACTCCCACTGTGTCTGTTTTCTTCCTTTTTGCTCTCAGTGTCTGTGTTTAAAATTAGCCTGTAAGAACAGCGTGTCTTTGCTGACCTGGTAACACAGCTTAGTATGTTCTCTAAGTCCCAAAACATTGTCACTCGGGTTACTCTGCCGGCTTTTACCAGAAGCAACAGTATATTTTCTAGGGTGATTAAAACGGTCTTTTATATTAGATAGACTGCTTAGCAGCCAACATTAATGTATTCTGAGTGCCACCTTCTTAGAGCACCCTGGCACAGCTGCTGAACAAATGTTTCTATTGGTGCAGTTTTCCCTTTCTGCAGGAGTTTTTTTAACTCCCTTTCTCCTGTTTTCTAAATCTGCATATAGTTCAATATGCTCCTTTAAGTAAGGTGGAGGGGGTAACTGAAGGGCGAGTACTCCTGCTGCTCGGGAAACAATGATTCCTTCGTCATGAGCCTCTTGGTTGGCATTTCGATTTAGCCTGGTACATCTGTGTACTCACTAAAAGCTCTTGTAGTTGCTCTTCTGGTTTCTTAGCTGTACGTTTTCTACATCATTCCAATTTATGCAGTCAAGTTTCCAGTTTGCATCAATTGCCCCAGTTAATTTTGGATTGAATTCTGTTGCATTTCAGTGAGTAATCTGAAGAGAAATCAGGAGACTACCTTAGAAGTAAAGTACTACTGGTGTGAAAGAGCAACACATTAAGTCAGTATTTGTATACCAAGACATGAACTTAGTAAATGTGATCTAATCCGTTTTCCTGGAACAATGAAGCAAAATGGTGCAAATCCCTGTGTAGCTGTAAACTATGAACCTTTTTGAGATCCTTGGGTTTTACGTTACTTTTTCTGGTGAATTGCAGTATTTTTTAAGGGTGGGTTTTTTCACTTAAGAGGAAATGTCCCTCTATTTCACCTGCTTCTCTTCCAATTAGTAGTTGCCCACCTCTTGGGAGCATAATTAAGAGGTCTCTAGTTAGCCTAAGGAAACGAATTAAAGAAATTGTAAAAATGCAACTGTAATAAATGGGCAATATATAGCCATTAAGTCCACAATATCCATATTCATGCTTATGCATTACTACTTTAATGATTTGATATTTACCTATATAACTCATTTGATTATAAATAACGCTGATTGCATTGGGAACCAGTGTTGCACAAGAGGAATAATAACCTTTCTCTTTGTTCCAAAAGACTCAGGCAGGCATTTTGTTTAAGCAGTAAATATGCACAATAGAAATTGATACTTCTTAATTTTGCACTTAATGGATATTGGCTGCCATCAAACAGCTTTGAGTAATTAGTAGTTGCGGTTGTAAGAAGCCCCAGGACTGATGAAGTGTCAAGCAGTAGATAAAAACTGGTCTGAAGGGCAGTCTTTAATCTGTCATGGGTCCCAGAAGGATTAAAGGTTGTGTGGAGTGTTTCTCCTGTTTATACAAGCAATGTGTCTTACTGAAGTTCACTTGAAAGTCTCGGAAATACACTTCTAACCTGATAAAATATTAAAAACTGCTCGACTGTTTCATGTCTCGGGACCTGAATAGCAGTTAGGAAGAACTACTGTAGTGTGCTCTGAATGGGGAAGAGGAGGTACACAGTGTTCCCTTGTACAGGATGGTAGCTGAGTATCGTGGCATATGATTAACACATGATAAAGAAAAATAGTGATAAAAGCAGTTTATGAAGCCTGACATGAACCTTCAACATTTACTTTTAGGTGTGTTTCCTTTTCAGTCAGATTGATGAGTGATGACAGAAGAATGTAATCCCTCTGGTAGATTTTATTGGAAATATTTATGCTCTTTACCAGAATTATATTTTATTGAGGTTATTTATGATGTTTGCTTAGTTAAACTTTTGGGAGTATAAGGAGCTATCACAGTGAATTATCGTTAAAGTATCTTTGCTTTTGCTTTGCTGTTCATGTGTCATTGAACAATAATGTCAGTTCTGACAAACAAAATTAATTTTGATAAAATAGGTATTCAGATAATTTGATTTTTGTTATCCATGGAGAAAACACTTGAAGGTCCACATTTGGGTGATGAACAGTAATGGTTATTTTAAAGCAGTTTTGAAGAAACAAATTTCACGCAAACCCACCTTCAAAAACAAGTGCTTTATGGACGCATCACAGATCTGCTTTTCTCCACACCTGTCACCTTTCACACAAACTAAAACCTACATTTGTTTCCTTTGATTCTCTGCTGGGATGTTCATAGATGCCTCCCATTTGTCATTCCTCTTTGGTGTCTTTCAGTCATTACAAGCCATGGCTTTTGTAGATAAAATGGAGTTAATTTCTTTTCATATATTCCCATAACTTGGGAAATTCTTTGTTAGTCTTCAGATCTAATCCATTTCTAAATGGTGTGTGTTTCTTCTGCTTCATGTCTGAAATGTGGCCTTTCTTATTCATCTGTATAGCTCCAGGCATCACTGATTTCCCTCTGACTTCTGTAAGCCAAGCAATTGCTTATACATGTTGAAAAAGTTCTTACAGGAATTATTTTTGTATGGTTTTGTCAACCTTCTTCATTTACCTTCTGCTTTCCCCATCTTCTCTTCTCCATCAAACATGCTATTCATCTTCCGGAGCCCTTCATAGCATGTACCCTGTCTGCTTGTCCTTCTCTGCATCACTGCCGTGTCCCAGTGCCCTGTGGTCCAGTTTTCCACCCATGTGTTACGTGTTTCTCAGAGAAATACCCGATGTCTTCTTTTGTGCTCTAACTCATTCCCTAGAGGAAATCTCTGCAACTATTAGTAAAACTAACAAGTATTTGCAGAACTAGCACATTACTTTAACAAATTACTGCTTCAAAGTTTCCTTTTTCAAATCAATCAGCAAAACCTGAGCTATTTTTTCTATCAGTGTGTATGCTAAAACCACTCTTTGTAGTTCTGTAGTATCAAATTGTTCCTCCTGCTTTCTCCTGTCTCTCCAAGTGTATGCACTGTACAGCCCATTAAGCCACCTGACTGGAGTCTTTTAATGTTTAGGAATACAAGTTTAAAGAAATAAGTTTTAAAAACACTAAAGTCAGATTACGGTAGCCTTTATGCAGTCCCTCTAATAGTTTTATTTGCTGTATTGCCTTTACATGTAATGTCTGTCACTAGAAAATTGAAAAGATGATTCGTTGTATCCAAAGCTGATCCATGTATCTTAAGCCATATCTTTCCTGTAATTCCTTAAAATCTTGCTGGGGTGCATGGTTTTAAGGGTTTAGGCATTCTTACTATTCTTTTGTTGATAAACTGGAGGATTGAAAGATGGACATGATACAGTTAATTAACTTTTACAGGTTCAGATTTTCCTATGCTTGGTGACAGACTCTACTTTTGGACATGTTAATAAATGGCTGATTTTCTGGAATACTGCACTCTTCCTGCTTCCTTTCATTACATTAGCCAAGGTTCCACTAGATGAGACATTTGCAGTCTTAAGACTTCCTGCCGAGGTTCAGACTTTGTATTTTTGAGATTGAAGCTGTCGTGTTCATGAAACTACTTAATTAGAAACACATTCATTTCAGTGCGTACTGGAGGAGTCTTGAGCAGCATAGCCAGGCACACAGGGAAGTTGAGCATTTGTGCAGCTGGCAGCTAAACCGGTGGTTTATACTTTGAATATAAAATTACTGGGTATTTTCTTGCCCCTGGAATGTGGCCGTTGGAAATGAAGAGATGTGGGTGAAAGAGATAGCATTTGTCGCAAATAAAACATGCAAAATGACAAATAAAAATACTCCTCAGTTGAGCAGCAATCCATATGTAATAAGTATGTATCACGTTGTAAGGTAAAAATTTCTGTTCAAGAACGTGGATGTATGTTCTGGTTCTCATCTGTGGTATTCCCAAAGAAGCAGAACCTTCAGGATTTGTACCAAGTTAGTTTCTGATTTAACAGTTCCTCTGGGCTATCTGCCATAAGGTGCTGTATTGGGTGAAGCTTGGGCAGGGACATTCTTGCCAGCCTGGGCAGTTCAGTAAGTTGTAAATGTACTGGGATACACAGGACTTCAGTGTTCTGCAAATGAACTTGTAAGGTTTTTTGAAGTTATATATGTTTAATGTCTTCAAAAAGAAAGAAAGTGTTTTCATGTAGAATATGTAATGCAGGGGCTGTTTCCATCTCTTGGTACAGCATCCAAGAGAGTAGTAGTTTTAGGGGGTATATTAATAGACATGATAAATATTAATATGCATATCAGTAAATATATTTTTTTAGAGGTATTTCTCATGCAAAGGAGAAACAGAGTGATTTTTGCTGGTCTGCTGTCTTGCAGTAGTTTTTTCAGCACTGCACTTCTCTTACTGAGCAGTAGGCACCAGTTTATAAAAGCAATATGGAAGATATTTTAATCCAAGGCAGTACAGTGACATTTCTCTCATTTTTTCATCTGAAATTGAAAATGAGCTCTTTGAGCTTCTGTATCCAAAATGAAATGAGGCTCTATTTTAAAAGTTGTGTCTGTCTGTGTGCTTTCCGTTTAACAGGCAGTATATGCCATATTTGCAATTAGCAGCTTTGGCATCCTCTTTGATATGTTCTAATAAGCAGTGCAAATATAAGCTTTCCCTGATTAGTTGAGTGGGAGTCCTGTAATAAGCTTAATATTAGGAATACTGTATACATAAAGATACAACTTTCATTCAGTATTCTTCTTGTGCTATATAGTCTATGTTGGTGTTTGCTAACATCATGGAAGAGAAGTTGGAAAAGATCAATCTTTCTCTTAAGTGTTAGCATTCTGTTTGATAACAGCAGTATCACACCTGTATTTGAGGCTACAAAATTGGCCTGAGAGCCTCTTGGTGTATTTATGTGTTCTGAAGGGAATAATGGTATCAGCATATATCCCAGTAACTCTGGAGTTTATCAGAATCTTCAAAAGTAATTTTTATATTTTTCTTTTATAAATGTAAACATTTCAAGATTTATACTTAAAAATAAATTATTTAAAATGTGTCTGGAACCATATTCAAAGGGTTTAAAACTTGTAGTACCAGGTGATATGTACACATTAAATTAACCACTTTACACTACAGCAGGATCAATTTGTCTACGGAAGATTCTTAGAAAAAGTCTGGTTATTTTTTTTTTAAATTGTGATAACACGTTTTGTTTGTTGTTTAAAAAAAGACCCCAGTATTACACATGTGTTTAATAGCTGTCCTTATGTACCTGTCTTAACTTAGTCACTTAGAAATTCTCATGTCAAGAAAAATTAAAGTCTTACAGTAGTGAGAGGATATTGCATATTAAAGTCTTGGAAATACAGAATAAAATTTTGTTCATATGTGGTTTGTTTATATATATATTTATTTTTTTTAAGCAAAATCTAGTCCAGTATCCTGGTATTTTCCTGCAGCTGATTTTATAAGTCGTACGTGTTAATCTAGTCTTACGAGAATGTAAAGCTAAGTTTTTTTTCCTCTTTGCAGTGCCCCAATGCCCTACCTCATTGGAATACATTTAAGCTTGATGGAGGTAAGTGTTTCTCACCATTTCTGAAACTATATATAGTTTTATGATTTAGAGCCAAATTCTGCAAGCAATTATACATTCATTCGTATGCTTAAAAATGAAATAATCCTGTTAATTTGGGAGTGCTGAGAGAATTGAAGTTAAGCATACATGATAATGTTAAGGGAGTCTTATTTGATACCTTATACTCTTTGGGCATATTTTCTGTTTACAGTTCAGCAGTCAGTGACGAGCTCACGTTGTGTTCTCTCCATCCTGTTGCTTCATTTAATCAGTTTACTGCCTTAGTTTGACTCCGTATTCACAAAGGCAGAGTCGATATTAAACCAAAATGTTGACAGTTACAGTTCTCTTTTAGGCTTTTGCAGACAGATTGTAATTTTTTTAATGTTCAAAAGATCTGAAAAGAAGGAACTTGCTGTTAATGTTAACACAAAGCTGGCAGAAAACCAGCCCTCACAGAAAGCTTCACATATAAACAATTCAGAGTAATTCATGTGACTTTTTAAAAACTCTAAAAGTGGAAATAGCATGTTTGCTTTTTCTTCCAATACTGGTGAAACAGTTGATGACTTTCCTCAAAAGTATCTGGAGGACAACATAAGCTATTAATTTAGATCCCTATGAAAATCCTAGTCCTTATTAGTTGTGCCCCTTTACACAGGAAGTCTGAACAACATGTATATGCTCCGTGTGGGAAGAGGTATTCCTGCCCAGAAAGCATTGCATCTTTGTAGGCTCTTAAATTAGCAGGCTGTGTCGAACTGGTAGGAATTGCAAATGCCCTTCAAAGTTAATTGACTTGTGTCCCTGGTTTAGATACCTGTGTTTGGAAATTTAGGCTTAGGGTTAGGATACATAACAATTTACAAAGCTGAGTTTTACATCACAAAGTAATGCGTATTACTAGAATATTTGTTCTTATATTGTCCATAAAAATGTGTAATTTCTCTGGAAATATTGATCAAACGTATTCTTCCACTCAGGCATATGTATGTAATACTGATCCTCTATGTCTTTGTGTGTTAAAACTTAGACTAGCATGGTGTGTAACTTCCTCCTTTTTCCAGCATTAATGTGAAGTAATTTTAGAAGTCACTTTTTTCATGAGAAACTAGATGGAATATGCAGGACCTCTTTTTTTTTTTCTTTTTTTTTTTTTTTTTCTCCTTACCATCCTGGGTACAGATGACTTTTTATGCCCTTTATGTTGCTAAGTAAAGTACAGAATTGCAGTACAATGTGTTAGTGAATAAGAAATTATTTTAAAAGTCAACATGTACATTTGTTTGCACATCATATGCTTGTGTTAGAGGGGTTTCTGATAATTACCCTTGAATATTGCATGCACAGGTCTGAAGTAATATCTAGGAAGAAATAGTCTAGCATATCTTTTTCATATTGATCAGGAAACTTTCTGCCCCATGTCTGTACCAGGTAATCATTGGCATGCCTATTATGGTGTCTATCTATTTGAAAAAGAAGGAAGAGACCCGGTAGAGGATGGGATAATACCTCAATACAGATACTTGTCAGCTTCACAAATATTTTTGCTCACAAAGAACCACGTGGTTAGCCTGGCAATGGGTATAGAAAAAAATTAGTAATTACACCTTGGAGTTGCTCTGCATGATGTCTCACTCCTGCCTTGCTACATAAACCCATTACCTCTTCCTTTGTCTCAGTTTTTCAGATTGCAGGGCTCTGTAGGCCTTCCAAACTCCATCTGTAAAAACTCAAAAAAAGGACTTGTTCTTGGAGAAGCCAATTTTCATCCGTTTTAGTAACTTGTGAAAAAATCTGTTTAGTACTAAATCCAGTATGGCTTTTGAATAGCCGGAGATTCTGGAACACAGACACACTTTGGCAAAGTACAGTTATTCAAAGTGCTTTATGAAATAAATTAAATAAATAAAACAGTCTTCTCTCCTCCCTCTGCTCTTAAGGATAAGTTGAATGCTTCCAGACAGAAATGCATCTTCCAGCTAACTGTGCCTTTTCTACTGAAAAATCAAATCAAATCACACAGTGGGCTATTGTATCTGTTTGTTGGCAAGTACTGCGTAATTTCTCTGTGCCTTGGGCAAAGGAAAGGTGACATTTGTCAAATGAGCTAGACAATTACTAGTTTACCTCTTTGCCTGTTTTTGATGCTGAAGCGCGCTCTGTTTTTTTCTTCATATGTAGGTATAAAATTGTGTTTTATTTGTTAGAATAACAACTTAGTAGCAACAGTAATTTTTTTCTCATGATCTAGCATTTGTGTATTTTTAAAAATACAATGTATTAATTTTTCCATATCAAAATAATTTTATAAACTACAACTAAAAACTACTGTCATTATTCAGTATTTGTTTTTCTTTAAATGCTGAAATTTCAGCAAATAGATCTTTAGAAGTGTTTTGTTAATCCACGTGTTCTAGTTTCAGGATAAGGGATTAATTCCCCACTCTTCTATTCAAGTTAAGACAGGTGGACTCTTTATCTACTGTAGAGCCCCACGGGAGTAATTGCAGTTATATATAGGTTCATGGTTCTGCTCCAGCAGCTCCGATTGCAGAATTTGTCATTGTTGCGTAAATGTTAGTGGAAGCTTAAACTTGCACAGAGAAAGCTGTGGTGTAAAGGGGAGGGTGAATTTGGAATGTAGGAAAAAAATAATTTTCTAGCTTTAGTGTTGTTTCTGTGGGTTTTTGCTATCCCTAGTGTTGTTTCTGTGGGTTTTTGCTATCCCTGTCTTGGAATGGGTCCTCTGGAAGAAATACAGCAGAAATGTTAATGATTTTAAACAAAACACAACCTCTCTCTCACCTTGAAAGATTTTTTTCAAACCATTTTGTATCTTAAAGTTAGTTTGCAGTTTCCCATATTACACAGGGTCTCTGTAGAAGAACAGTTATTTTAATGGAAAATGACAAATTTTTCTTATGATTAAAATATCAAGCATATCCATTGACTGTTAAATCTAATTTGCTGTGACTGAAATGTTCTCCAGTGAGATAAGATAATCTCCTGTTATAGGTCAGAGGGCTCCAACTGATTTATGAGGGAAAATCTTGGTAGAAAATATAGAGCTGTGTTTTGTGCTCTTATTTTTCAGCTTTTCTATCATCACCTAGTTAGTCATTCTTTATAAGATTTCCATTTAGCAATCCATAAAGTGACTTCAAAGAAGGCTAAAAGTTTATAAGCTGTTGGATAAGCAAGGCTGGAGCTATCACATGAATAATGGAACATGCTTACGGAACTAATTGAATTCATATTAGATGAAGATAAGTACTTAGTACTGATAAATAATGAGGCAGGGAAACGAAACTCTATGAAATGAACACATCCCTTTCATAATCTTGTTTTATTTTCTACCTGCGTACTGTATGCTATTTTAGTGTTCAAATTATATTAAATTGACCTTTGTGTTATAAGTGGTGTCAAACTTAGCTGGCAGCCTTTTACATTTTGTCATAGTAAACGATTGTTTCAGCAACTGTTTCTGTAGGAAAGGTTATTAGTGTGATGGCGCTGATGGAAGAGAAATGCCCTTGACCTAGTAGACTACCTATTGGAATTTAGGCACATGTGGTTTTGATTAACCAGTGGGGATAGTTGTGTTTAGCTGTCAGATACTGAGCTGCTGGCAGCATACTCTTCTGTGCCAGGCTTGCAGTCATTCAAGTAACAATAACGGCCACCCTTTGCATGCTCTGTTCAGGGCACAAAACCAGCCTTTAGAGTTAAAGTTAATGATTCGAAAAGTATTTCTTATACTTTTTTTATATATATTCCAGTCACTCAAGGACTTTTTCTGGGACTTCAGAATTTTAATTCTTGCAAGATTATCCAGAATGAACTTGTGTGTGAAACTTCACATTGGATTTGTCAGAATGATTTTCTAACATTTTTCCTAAGCATAAAGGACAGTTGTGCATGTCATAAAACCTATATGAGCAGATTTTTATTTTATTTTAACCTGGTATGAGTAAATATGTTCATGTTAGGAGAAGAAGGTTCACTAAAATTCATGCTGTGTTTGATATGGTAGGACACGGCAGCTGATTTCACATAATGTCGATAGTCTCTTCCTTATGCAGACAGATGAATGGAGACCTGTGTGTTCAGTCCTCTGAACCCCACAGACGTATTCTGGAAGCACTTTAGCACTTTTGGCATATTTACCTGGTCTTTTTCAGGTAGGCGTGAGGATGCTCTGTTTGTGATCCAGTCTGATAATATGTCAGTTAGCATGCATGGAGTCTGAGCTAATGAACTCTGAGAAACAGGTTACATCAGCTTGAGCTTAGTCCTGACAGTGCCACTTGATTTCCCCTTGCTGCAGAAGACACCCTGAGAATTCATTGACCACTGGCATCTTCCAGTGGTAGTGTTAATTGTTAATTATATTTTTTGATTGGGGTGAGGAGTCATATTTAGCTTTTTCCATCCATTCATACTTAGTAAATCACTGCCTTTTATAGCTATAACTGAAGAAGTGTAGCTTTTTTACAGGGTTTAAATGAAGGGGTTATATATATATGCATACACACACACACACACACTTAAATCCAGGTCTTAGAAAACTAAATGTCATTTAGTCACTCACAAATATTATAAATATGGCTCTACATGGTTTCAGGACTATTGATAAAAAGGCATTTAAAAATATGACAAATTACTTATGGAATTGTCTTTTGTCCAATTATTGGAAAAATGAAAATAATAACTGTGATTTAGTAAGAGATTCTGGGGGGCTGGGATGTTTGAGGGCTAAGTTTTAAGAAAGGCAAATACTGCAGTACCAAGTAGACTTACCAGTAAGTGTAGGAGGTTTTTCTTCTGTTGTACAATGGCATTCGACCAACACTATTGATGTTTGTCACTCATTTGGCAACAGCTGCTTGTGATAAGGATCTTGAGAATCACCTGTACAGGATCAGGGTACTGCACATCAAGGTTGGGAGATGGGCGGAAGAGTGGGAGATGCACAGGAGGGGGCAGCAGCCCACCTGCTGTGCCCAGATCAAAGGGTTGAGAGGTCAGGGGGCACATCCAGCTTAACCAGATTTGTCTGCTGAATAGCTATTTCAGATTGTAAATCTAAGGGTGATTTCATTAAGTCCTTCTGGCTGCTGTTGGGGCATGAAATAATAAAATTTTATATCCGTTGCCTTTCCTGCTTCTGGCAGCCAGATTGACACATTGTTGTCTGCAGTGTTGTGTTTTTCTTAAGAAAATAAATGGAAACTATTAACTAAGTAGAGACAAGTCATTAAGCAAATGGATTCTAGACTTGTTGTGAATCATACTTTCATAATAATTTCAAATATCATGTACAAACTAGCTACTAAGAATGTTAGTTTTTGTTAAGAGTTTTACCTTTCCAAAAGAATTGGTGGAAGGTACATTTTCTTTTTTCTGTTACAACATTTTTTAATATCTTAATCACATTTGTATCTGGTTATGAAACTTCATCATCAATTGGGTTTATGTTTTGGCACCAATTTAGCCATGAAGTTATGCAAACCTGTTTTTTGGGGGGGAGGAGGTTGTTGTTGGTTTTGGGGGGTTTTAAGTGAACTATTCCATAAAATTGTTCATCTGAAAGAAGTTTAACTTGGGATTTTTTATGGTAGGAAATGCAAAAACTGCCAACTGTAGACAGCGATAATAAAATATCGTTTAGTATAAACTGGTGTTACTGTTATTGATGAATATTGCTTCTAGTATGTGATCTGAGTGAGACAGAGGAGCGCCCCTTAATACTTCCATTAGAATATAGTTTCTCAGTGTTTTTGCAAACTTTCACATAAAACATTTAAATTACTTCAAGTGTTTGGCTGCTTGTGAGCAGGACAGACGCACTAACTGCTGCTTATTTACTGACCTGGTGTTTAAGGCCCCCTGGAGTTTGTTTGAAAAGTTAAGAGATTTTCACAGTAAAGGTGCCATTTCTGAAATTTAAAGTGCTCTTTTCACCAGGAGATAAGTTCTCTCTGATTAAGTCAGTAATTCTTACTAAGCCATGTTTATAGAGGCCATAAACAATGGGTTCAGTGTGCTTGTTAAACCAGCTTTCCATACCTCTCCACTCTTTTAAAAAGAGACATTTAAAATAAAAGGCAGGTGTAGATGTTAGTTCAATTTGATGGTTTTTAGATGATTAATTATGGCTACAAGTAATTCGGTAAGGATGGTTAAGAAAGGTTTGCAGTAGTGATATGTGACGCACATTTTCGCTGAATCACTTGACTCAGCAAATCCCTAGTCTGTAGTAATATTAGATAAGGAAACTGTAATGTTCATATTTCTTCTTGTTCTTTGCTTCTCCACATTTTTTTCAGCAAAATATGAACATACTGAATATAGTCCATTCTGTTACACAGGTATCACTTATTTTTAAAATTTTGTTTCAATGTTCAGGAGGTTGTGAAATGTAGAATGTGATTGTATATGGCTTAGTGGCTGTCCCTTTATATTTTGAAAAAATTACGACAACACTCAAAGTGTACCTGTGAAAAGGATCTACAATTAGTTGTGATTCACAGAGTCCAGTGGGATTTAATATGAGAAATGCAGTTGGATGCTGGGAATTTTTACTAAAATTCCAACAAGAGAATAAATACTTTTATTTCCAGGTCAGTTGGGTTGATAAGGTACTATGTTTAGTGAAAGAACCATGTGATTATTTGATAAAAGCCCTTGTAACTATCTGATGATAACCTTTGTCAAAGATTATAGTGAAAGAAAAGATAATAAAACCAGATAAGGGTTAAGATGAACTGGTCAGTCTCTATTTGTCTAGGATGAGCCACAATTGGACCATTGAAAAATCATATTTTTTCAAATGCATTGCAAGACAGATGCTATAAATCAAGTTAGTCTCAAGTGTTTCATTCAATTTGAGGGTTTGTCTCCAGGGAAATCCACTGTCTTAATACAAATATTGAGAAGTTTTACAGTAAGGTTGTGCTCTTCATGATGGTGTAAAGGTATAGCACAGCAGAGTTTAATATTAGCCTTCCTTTTGGATACAATTATTTCTGGGCCTTGTGTGGAGATGATTATGTTGATCAGCATTTATAGTCTTTGCACCATGAGCAACATCCTTTTGGACTATACTCCTTGGCAGATACCCGGTTGCCACAAGCCTATTCTTTGCTACAGAAAATCCTAATATTTTGCTGAAGGGAAGGTGCAGATTCATCACCAAAGTTACAAAAACACCCACTGACAAGTTCAAGCACATGTTTGTTGCTTCTTCAGCAAGAATCAAGAGAAGGTTTTAATACCTTCTGTCTTGTCCTACTAGCACTCGATTTTGACAAGCTTCTGGCTTTGGTTAAGTACATTGCAAGACTTTTTTGTTGGAGCTTTTTAGACTCCTCTGAGTATAAGTGAGATTTTTAATTTTCTGAAACAGGAAGGAGCAAATCAGTTTGTCTGGTGCTTCCGGACTCCTAGAAGGAGCAAGACTCCTGGATTGCTTTAGAGTTTATCAGATGCAGCCAACAGAGTGACCTTTGGTTCCTGAAATGTAGAAGAAAGTACCTGGTTTGTGATGCAGTACTTCTGCTTTTTACATGGAAAGCATTAAATATAATATTCTTCCATTTAAGTTAAAGAAATTTCTCATGGAAGACCTAAATTTAAATGTCTACAAAGTGTTTTTTATAGTTGTTGGCTCCCCCCCCTCGCCCCCCAAGTACACAGCAGTTTTCTTTATAGACAGAGGACTGAGCCTTGAAAACTGAAGGTAATTATTTAGATGCCTAAGGCTCAACTTTGCCATTGTTTTAGAGCTTTAGTTCCTTTCTTTTAAAGGAAACAATTCCCCCCACCCTGCAAAACCTTAATTAAAAATTGAGTATGCTTTTGTTCATTTTTCTGTTCAGTAACTTGCATTTGGTCCTACGTATAGGTATGTAGGTACTTAAACGTTTGTTTACAGTGTCACTGGGAAATTTCCTTAATTACCATATTCTATAGTTCCACTTTTTCTGACTTTGAATTTTCAAAACTTTATTTGAAGAGGGCTTAAATATGTATGATTAGGCAGTCAAAAAAAAAAAATCTCCTGTTAGTGGAAAAAGTGTTAAAATAAATATTTAAATGCTGCTCTGTTTCATATCAGTGATTCACTTACTGTTTTTTAAGCAGGGAAATAAAGTCTGACAATGTTTAAATTTGCTTAGATCACCAATACCTTTAGACTCTTAAAGTCAAAGGTACTAATGATTGTTCTTTTAAGAAATAGGTTATGCTTTTCTTTTGTATGTCCATGTACTATTACACATGATGTTAACACTCAAACTAGATTAGAGACATTTCTTTCTCTCAATTCATGGGAACAGGATAAAAAGTTTAGACTCGCTGAACATTAAGAGACCAGGATGTGGTGGAGTTATTTTTCTCTTAGCTTTTTTTTTTTTTTTTTTTTTTCCCCTTTTTAATTATTTATTTATTAACCTCTGGTAGTGTCCATTTTACTTAAATACAGTTGTAAACTTGTCTCTATTGGAGTTCCAAAATTCAACCTGGAATTTGGAAACAAGTTCCCATCCCTGACTTACTGCAACTCTTAACTCCTAGAAAAGCCACTATTTATTGTTCTTTAAATTAATTTCTAAATATAAAAAGATATATTTGAAATCTTTACTCACCTAGAAACTGCTAAATGTGCAAACAGGATACCAGAATTAAGACAAGCATTAGTAGAGTTGCTTGAAATAAATCTCTGCTTGAATAATCACAAACAGTAACTCTCTGGTTTCAAAAATTTCAGTATGCACAATGTTAAGAACTTCCCTCTGCAAATTGAAGGTTAATTTTTCAGCACTGTAAAATGTGAATAAATAAAGCAAAGGATGACAGAGAGACAGGACTGTTGGTTGTTTTTAAAATGCTTGAAGTTTTGTAATGCCATGATGTTACGCCATCACTTGTGTCCTTAATGCATAAAATTTAACTCTTCATACTTTTATTTTCCTTTCCCTTTTCTTGAATTTTCTCATATTTAGAAAGTACGAAACATGGCCCTGGAAGATGTAGTGATTCTTAATGTAGACACGAACACACTGGAGACCCCTTTTGATGACCTTCAGAGCCTTCCTAATGATGTGGTATGTATGAAATGATTTATCCAACTATTCCATTACTTAAAAGTGTAAATCCTTTTGACCTGTTTGGTTTGTAACTGAGGTGTCTCATTGGGTTACTTTCATTATTATAAGTAAACTGCTTTACCTCAATTCTTTCCTGTTTTGAAGTGTTAAGGAATGTTTGTTTAAACATTTGCAGACATATTTTTAAGCCTCCTAATGAAAATTAGCTAATGCTCACATAAGCTAGTAATGCTGCAGCAACCCAGTTTCAGTTTTGGAATGGCATTCTCAAGTTTCAGGTCATCTGAGGAGTTAGTCTTTTATGGGTAAAAAAGACAAATGAAAAACACACAGGTTATGGTACAGCTGAACAAGAAACAAAAATTCGAACTTCTTTCTTCATGGTGTGAAAAAATACTACTATTTTAAACCATCTTTATCCATTCCATTGGGAGAAAAAAAATCATGCATTTTTAGATAACTTTTGTTTGCAAATAAAATTGTGTGGTTTTTTCCCTGTGACTTCTTCCAGGTGAGCTTTAATGAACTTTGTGCATTTCACATCCTGATTTATGATATCAAATGGACTACTTCATATTCACTTCTAGCACTGCTCAGTGCATATAATTCAGAACTTATTTTCTTTCTCATTCAAACTTTTTATTGGTAATTTATTTATTTTTTAATAACTTGATAGAAAAGTTGTATAAATATTTGATCTTTTCCTTTAATGGGACAAAAATACATCCAGCTTGCTACTTGCTGCTGTAATCATCTTCGCTAAAGAAGCTGAGAGGGAAGAGCAGTAAAGTGAGTAAGAGTGTAAGAAGCCATTTTTAAGTCAGAGGGTGACTGTTTAGGAGAAAACGGCAGGGGAAAATCTGGATTTCTTTTACTAGTTCAAAATACTGTGCTGACAGTTAGATCTATACCTTTCTATGTGTAGCTGAGAAATAAAATTGATATGCAGGGAGCTTTGAGGAGAAACTCAAGTAATGGTGCATACCCAGTGCCTCCTACTGTGACATCCCGTCATTTCTCTATGATCTGTGGTGTGATCCATTCTTCGAAAACAGTGAGCTCTGGATGAAAGGTCCATCTTGATTGTGAACATTTTGGTTTTAGTCAAGCATTTAGTCTATAAAAGTTACTTCCATGAATTTTTCTGGCTTTATATAGTTTTTCATTTTGATTTCACTCCCAGCATCCAAATCTGCCAGCTGGTCATCGCTCATGCCATTATCCACAACCCAGGGAATGACAGACTTGTAAATTTCATGGAATTATGTAAGAAATGTCTGGATACAGTGAGTGCGGGGCCTCAAACATGTATATGATTTGTCAACAATCAAGTATTATATTAGATTTTATGAGACTTCATTAAAGGAGCTGTTGTAGGCGCACTGTAGAACATCAGAAGAGACTTCACCAATAAACACAGAACTTCAAGCTTTGGAATGTAATAAATTTTAAGAGACTTCCTTCCTTTCATTATTTACTTTTCTCCACTTTTATAACAGTAGAGAGTTGTGTTTTATTAGTTCAAATTTCTTGATTCAGTTTTCCACAGGTCTATTTAAAAGCTACATTTTTATCTTGGAGGATGTTTGGAGCATAGCAGAGGAAGTGCTGCCAGCAAATTCAATTAACTGGCATGGCTCACAAATAGCTTACATGGTGTATTTTTTTTTCACAACTGCTATATAAATACAGCTGGGATTAATATTTGTCGCAACAAAGCCTTAACTTGAATCGTGTTGCGTTGTGTAATTAATGTTTGGGATCAGTCTTTATGTCTTATTTAGCTTTGTTGCATTATTTTAGTTACCTAGATAATGAAGTATTCTCCTCTAGGTCTTTTCCTTTCCTTCAGACTGCTTAGTATTTGGCTTTGACCACTAGAGAGCAGCTGCTCTTCTTTGCAAGAATTGAATTTCTGTCAGTTCTTTCATGCATCATGTGTTTGGAACTGTAAGTGGATCAAGTTGTTCATCTCAGCAGGGAGACTCTAAAGCCAATCCATTATACTTTTTTTTTTTACTTTTTTTTTTCCTTTTGCTTCCCTGGGAGGATGGGGAGATTCTGGGAGTGTGTCTCCCCACTGGTCTCAGTCTAAACAGATGCATTTATGATCTGAGAAACTAAAAATGTCTTCAACAGTTTCATGATGGTAAATGGCTGTTATGTCAAACTATTCTGCCAGTTTTGCTACCTAATGTGAACAGTGAGCAATTCATGCCCTGCTGAATAGACACAAAATTTACTTTGCTAAATTAAATCTATCTATATTCAACAGTGAGGAAAAACATCTTCTGTGTGATGCATTCACCATGAGGTAATTAATCTGATGGAAAATTTTTAAAGCAGTTTCCCCCCTCTCCTTGAACAGTTTTTTTTAATCAAGTAAATGAGGTCCTATGATTATTTTAGAGCTTCAGGTAGTGAGTTGTGCTTGAGTTTCATGATAGTGGTGTTGCTACCTAAACTGTTGATTCTTGGGAATGAACTATTCTTGTAATCTTTTACTCCTAGGATCCAAATGAACATAGGCTACGGTGAAATGTCTTTCCAGTTAACATTTGTGTTAAAGGAGCTGGATAGCATTGAGACAGTTCCAGCAGAATCAGATTAAGTAATTTCTTTGCCTCGGTGTACCTCAGCAGTACCTGCTAGCAGTCAGACTTCCTGAACTGTTCAGGTCAGGTCCCTGAAAATCAAGGTGTGTACTACTGCATTACTGAAGAACTATTTGAAATGTGAAAAACTGTCCCTCCTTCACCTTCTGCTTCTGCTATGTTGCTGAAAATCTGGCAGCATGAGAACGCCCTGGGAAGTAACTTTCCTTTTAAAATAGTCAATATTAAAAAAAGAGATTTATTAAGGACTGTGATTACAATAAGTGCATCTGCTGCTGACAAGTCTCCTACACCACCGTCTGTGTTGCAAGGAATAGCAAAGAGGGGGTAGTAATTTTTTTTTTATGCAACCCTTATGGATTTTTCATGTATTTCCAAATAAGTGTCATCTTCTAGTCTTAGTTGTAGTCAGAGCTTCATATTACAAGGAATAAAGCATAAGCTCACTCTGTCAACTTGTAGTTTTTATTAAATGAAGCCCTGATGCAATGCAGTGTACTGCGCCAAAGAGATCTTGCATATCTGATGGCTGTGAGAGTATTGTAAATTTGCACTAGCCTATGAATATCTTAGGCTGTCAGTAATTTAGTTGTGTATGCTACTGTTGTCCATTCATTAACAAGTTACCACAAGTAGGAAGCCTATGTTGCTGTTTTTCACTTAGTGGGAAATTAGCTGCTTTCAGGACAGCAAGAAGTACTAAACTACAACTATATAGCAGAACCATTTTCTTAAAGGTGAATCCATTTTTATTTCTTACACTATGTTTGCAATAGAATGTTTCTTGCTTTATTCATGTTGACAACTGAAAAGCCTTGGACCTAATTAAAAGAATTTCCACTAGCACCTTTACTGAACCATTTCATTATGCTGCATTGCACAGATTGCATTTTGAAACATGGTGATAGTTTAAATCTGACCTTTAAACCTGAACTGCCAGAAGTATAAAAATCTTCTTTAAAAACACTCTCAGGGTAGATTGCATGTATATGTGTCTGTTTGGCTAGAAATAATCTTCATATTGAGTGGTCACAGTCTTATTTTTTTTTAAAAGTATTACTACCTCTTTAGGCAGGAAACTATCATAATTTTGCTTGTATAATCTACTTTGTCTTATGTAGTAATTTATTCCAGAGTAAACATGATTTTTCTTTTTCTTACTTGTTAGTCTCTTCAAATATGTTGTTGTTGTTGTCATAGTTTTTAAAAAACCAAAATGTTAATGCGTATTACAATAATGCTGACTGAAAGAGTAAAAATGTACATATATAAAATAGACATGCTACGGTGTTCGATTTAGTCTTAGAAGAGAGCAAATGATCTGAAAGCTTAAGGAATTAGCAAAACACTTATCAATATTCTGTTTCTATACCAAATAGGGAAGCTGAAACAGAAAGGCTGCGACTAGCCTTTTGAACTTTTAGTCTGTTGTAAAATGAAGCGTAGAGCCTTTTCCTTCTATATAGATGGCAAGGTCTTTATCTTCACATGAATGTTTGAAGAAAACCACTTACAAAAATGTTTGAGATGGATTTGGAAGTTACTCAGAGCTGTGAACATTTTATTGCACTTTTAAGAACTACCTTTAAATGGTTTAGATAAGTTAATATAGGAAATAAAAGCATATTTCATCCCTATAACATCAGACCCCTTCAAACATGTAGAAGTGTGTTGTTCAGGTTTGAAAATCTGATGAAGCTTTTACATTTTGAGAATAACAGAGCTCCTTGAGAGACAATATCTCAGTGAAAAAGAGTGAGCTTATTTTATGGGCATGATAGACTAAATCGGTTATCATGTATTATATTAATATGTGCTTATGGGCTCATTAATGCATGGATCATTCGCATAAGCCACAGCATTCAGATTTATAAACAATGCTGGACATGCTCTTGATTATTTCTGTTATACTAAATAACTGTTATGAAATCCCTTCTACAGCAGAATCTGCAAAAAATTTAAAAGGAAATGGCTTTGCAGCTGTTTTGGTAAACACAAGTGCAAATATAACATCTAGTTTTAAAAGAAAAAAATGCAGTGCACAGTATGGATAATATATTTAACACCTGTATAGCAAGATGAGAACTCACTTTCCTGCCCTCCCCAAATCTAAGACTACTGAAGGAGGAAGTGAGGGATGTGCTTACAGGAGGGATAAAACTGAATCACTCAAGAACAGTTGTCCAGTAAAATCATCCTGCCATTTGCTACTAAGGCAGGCTGGTAGCAAAACCCCAATGCAGAAAAAACTTAACTCATCTGGTAGGATTTTGGAGATATGGATGAGGCCAGAATAAGCTTTTGTTATGAGCTGGAGGATGGTCTTGAAAGTTAATTTGAACCATCAGCTTATATTTTATAAGGTATTATTCATACTCTCAAAACCACAGTTAGTTATGTTCACTGCAACAGAATCTTACTCTGTAAATAATATTCCTACAATGTTTCTTGCATAGTGTGAAGTATATAGAGTTAGCCCAATGGAGTTTTTCAGAATAGCATTTGAAGAAGGAAGATTTGCTAGTTATTGATAGAATCATTTCTGTTAGATTCATAATATGGGTATCTATGGAGTCATTCACGTTCTTCTGCAAATCAAGATGACTAGGGATTTCCTGGCTTTCTGCTTTCCTTCCGAAATTGTGGCTCCTTGCTGTCTTCTGCGTAAGGTATCTCATCAAACTCAGGTTTTGCGTGTGACATGACTGCATCCTCTAAAAGTGCTAGTTGAATTTCTTTCAAGAATCAGTGCCCAGATTGTTGTTTTTGTATTGCTATGTGTTATGTGAGATTTGTCTCAAAAACCTAGCTTGTCCTGGTTCTGTCTGCAACACCAAAAAATTGCTACTGACATAACTATTTGTTAATGATTTAACGTAACCTATAACCGTTGCAGCACAGGCACAGCAAGCCTGATGTTAATCTTTGAAAGGTTTTTTTAATCTCCTTTCCCAGCTTGTGTTTGGGAAAGAAAAATGCTGTCACTAACAATAATATATAGATACACAACCTTACTTCAGTAGTTACTGAGCTCTAAGCCCTAGAAAAGAGACATCAAACTAAGTCACAGCCTTCTTGTATGTATGAGATATTCTGAAGCACAGAGAACAGTAATGGATAATCCTCTAAAACTTTAGCCCTTGGTGTACACAGAAAACAAAAGAATATTCAGGTAACCTGGATCAGGGTATTTTTAACTCTGCCTGCATAGAAATGTGTTTAGTTCATATTTGCTAAGTTGTGATCGGTAAGTGTCTCTGGGTAAAATGGTAATGAGACCGTTAGGGCTCTGTTTGCCTAAAGTGCAGCTCGGTGAATCCTGAGGTAATTAAACACCTCCACAGTGGAAGGGAAAGGGCAGTGAGGGTTAAGAGAAGAGCCATCCTGCGCACAGGTGGTTTAGATCTCTTGAGAAACAGGAAGAAAAAACTTCAGTAGACAGAATGTCCTTGTTAATTTGAGACTTTTAAAAAAGCCTGCAGGTTTTGTTTTCTGGATTGCACTGGGGCGTTGGCGGGGAGGCTGCAGGGCCTCTGTGAGGAGAGGCCGGGGCGGCGGGTGCAGGCGCCGCCGGCACCAGCCGGTTCCAGCCGGATCGGCAGCAGACCCCCCCGGGCGCAGCTGAGCCCGTCAGCAAAGCCGGCGTGCCTCCCTGAAAGCCTCTAAGAAATGGCAAAAGGCCACACGCAGAGTGAGGAGCGAGTAAAAGCCTGAGGAAGGAGCGGCAGAGAGGAACTGTTACGGACTGACCGCGACCCCCATTGGTGTCGCCCCGCGCCGCTCGGGGAGGAGGCGGGGAACCGAGGGGGGGGAGGTTGAGCTGGGAGAAAGGCAGCGGAGTTTCTGTCTTTGTTTCTCACCATCCAACTCTATGTGAATTGGCAATAAGTTAAATTAATTTTCCTAAGTTGAGTCTGTTTTGCCGGTGATGCTAATCCGTAAGTGATCTCCCTGTCTTTATCTCGGCCCACGAGCTTTTTCTTCGTGTTTTCTCCCCGAGTCCTGCTGAGGAGGGGGAGGGAGAGAGCGGCTGGGTGGGTGTCTGGGAGCCAGCCAAGGGAACCCACCATATGCATAAATAAAACTCTCATTTTGTTATTTTCCATTAAGTCGCTGAAACACAAGGGACTATAGCCTTGAAAGAAAGAAACCTTGTATTTGTGGCAATCAAATTCTTCAGACCTGCAGAATTTGTTCTTGGCCTTGGTGATGGATGGCCTGTTTATGCAGAACCGTTTCTCTATTAATCTGATGTTTGAATTAGTTTAGCTGAAATTCTTTCATGGATTCTAATCAAGAATGACACAGAACTTCATGGACTACCTTTAAAAGAGTACTCAACGGCATGTTAATGGCGGATTTTAAGTAGGAGGGAAGGTTGAAATGAAGCTTTGATTTTCCTGTTGGTTTCTGAATAGAATCCAATCATGTCTTAGAGAAGCAAAACAGCTTGAAAAGTAATGCTTTTAGAACTGAAAAATTCAACTCTGAATTCACAATGTCACTTTTGTCATAAATGCTGCTGTGGTTAGCATGTTTTTCATTTAGCTGTGCCCCAATGTGTTGAGCTTTGTTTGTGATATGAGAGTGATCTAGACCTGTTGTGTGACTTCAGGTTTCTGCACTGAAGAACAGATTGAAGAAAGTCTCTACAACCACTGGAGATGGTGTTGCAAGAGCGTTTCTAAAAGCACAAGCATCTTTCTTTGGGAGCTACAGAAACGCCCTGAAAATTGAACCTGTAAGTAGGAAATTAGTAGGCATAAGATGTAAATCTGCAGCTGTGGTGGGGAAAAAAGCTAACAAGAATTCAAAGTATAGTATAACCTACTTTTACTAAGGTCAGCATTGTGGCTCTTTGATTGACTAGTGCTGAAAACAGTGTTCCAGTCTCCAAAAAAGAAAGAGGTGCAACAAGCATGATCAATCACACAGGGAGAAAACTTCTTATGGAAAGGTATGGGTGTTGCTTGTTTTTGAAGACAGTTAAGTTAGAAGACAGATGATAAAGTATAAATCAGTGATCATAGGAGGCTAGTGCAGAGTTGACCATCTTCTCTCACTGCAAAACCTGGGTATTCATTGTATTATTTTTAAAGGTAGTAAAAGATACTTTTTACACAATATATGCTTAACTGTGAAACATGCAAATTTATGGAATCATGGAGTTTAAGAACATAATTAGTGAAGAAATTGTGCTTTTACAGAAATATGAAGAATGTCTGGAGTTGTAACTATTGATGATAAATGTTCTGTTAGGAAAATTCAATCTTTTGCTTCTGGTTCATAGCTAATCTCTATTTAGCAATGATTAAGTGCCATCTGAGTGGGGGAAGGATTTTTCTGTACTTGATATTGGGTTTTATTGTTTCTAGTGAGGCATCTGTTCCTGGCTTACTGCAAGTAGCTTCATGGACTTCAATACAAATCAGTCCAGGGGAAATCAGTCCACATGTTTTGTAACACTCTGGTTTTGCTACCGTGTACTTAGGGGGTTCCTTTTAAAGTGTGTACATTTTGCTGATAAACAGTTAAAAACAAGGTGAATAGTATGAGGAACATTCAAGTATAATTAATGAGATATGTCCCAGAAATATGGGGGATGTAAAGTACTACCTGCAGAGTGATCCACAGAATATTTCCAAAATATTCTACATTCCCTGTTTCTGAAGCAGGGGAAACCAACACCTTACAAGTCAAATGCACTGATAAATCTCAATGCGGTGTTCACAGGCTCATTTGAACTACTGTTGTTTAGACCTATGGCTGCTTAACAAGAAGATACCTGTAGAGGACAAAATGTACTTTTGTCTTAATACCTTCTTCTCTCATCTGCAAATGTTTGGAGGCAGAAAAGAAAATTGGTGGTAGCAATGGAGAACTTGAATACCACTGGGACATGTTAAGATGAGTTCTGAGCATAAGTGGGGAGGCTAAATGAGTGGAGTGAGAATGAAGGCTTACTACTTGAGAAAAGGTGTTGTATTCAGCATTGTCCTGTTCTGTGAAGATTAATGAAGAGATCTGGCATGCAGACAAGTAATAAATCTAATTATAATCATGATGTTAAAGGAAAGGCCAGAAGTCGGCCTGCAGGCATAGTGTTTCTTGAGGGCGAAGATATTTCAGTAACTAAAGTCTCTTCAGTACTATAGTTTGTCTTACTTGTTATTTTTAAAGCCAGAAGGAAAAAAATAGCTCAGTCTGTATTTTAAGCAGTCCAGTTATCACCATCAAATAAGCATCATTTCAACAATTCATATTCAGGGTTCAAAAACAACTTTTGAAGTCATCGTGAGTCCTTCCACATCTTATTGGGGGAATCCATGTGTTGTGTGTGTGGAAAAAATAAATTGTATTGACTTGTGTATGTATGTCTGGGTGTGAGTATTGGGCTTTTAAAGCATCTAAGGTGAGATAATGGGAGGTAATTGAAAAGTTGTCCATATAAATAACAAACATGAAACCAGGAAGGCACTCTGGCGGTAAGCCTCCTTTATCCGTGTCAGGGAGACACTGACTTCCCTTCATCCATGCAGGCTTCCTTGTTCTCCGATGCTCCTCCCCGTAGTTGCCAGGCAACTCTGGGAATATTGGTGTATGCTTTGCCTGGATGTGTGTGTGAGATTAACTAGTTAAGGGATTTATGAAGAAAAATAGAGATTTAAATTGCTTTTCTGGAAATACCATCTGGTATTTTGAAGGCTGAATGCTAAAGATGAATATTTGAAATCAGTTGACAATGGCACACCCCTAGAAGGTGCAACTTGGAGGGACAGCTAACCTGAGGAAGTAGCAGAAATTGGTTTGCTTGTCATTCCATCAAAGAAAATTCGCAAAGATAATGACACAAGTATGTCATAAAAATCCAATTTTAATATCAGGAAGTGGAAATGTTCAGGGCTTTGGGCTTTCTTTCCCAAGTCCTTTTTTAAATTAAAAATTGAATTTCTGATTATACATTTCAGTATTAAGATTTAGATAAAGAAAATTTGCAAGTGTTTCATGTGCTGAACATGTCAGAGTCAAATGACCTGCATTCTGTTTCCGGTTTTGCCACAGACATCCTGTAAGGTGTTGGACAGGTCATACAACTACTTTATACTTCACTTCTGTTTTAGAATATGCCAACAGTAAATGCAGTTACTGAGAGGTTCTTGTTACTGTTAGGAGCATCGCACTTAAAAATTAGTTCAAGACCCTTGGAAAACCTGATCTTAAGAAAATGCAGCAAAACTCTAAACAATAGCGTGTTATCAGTAAAACAATTAGGAAATGTACTTGCTAAGTTCACAAAAGAAAATGGGATTGTAATTTAATAACAAAGCATTGTAACTGGCAATTAGTAAGGCATCTTGCAATTTAAAGTCCTCTGTTTCTCTGTTGTGCTGTACTTTGAATGCTGCACTTGAAATAGTCTTCTGTATTCTCACATAATTCCATCTTCTAAAGAGCAGTTATGTTCATTGTTATTTCCTATCAGCTGATTAGCTCAGTTTGCCGAGTTTGTAGATTATATACTAACGGGTGTTCAAAGTGGTCATGATACACATCTTCTTGTAGAAATACAGAATGATGGGAGTTTCTTGTTAAATAGTGGAAGAATATTAAAGTGTATGCAGCAAATCTTTGATTGCTCTCCACTGATGTATCAGAATCCTCAAAGACCACAGTGGCTGTCATAATTTGCTTTAGAATTTTAATATCTGTTTGGAAGAAGTTATTTTAAAACTGTTACTGGTGTAACAGTTGCAAATAAAACCATTTCAGTGTGTCCGAGACAAATAGAAAGGCAAATGGAAGAAATAGCTTCTAGGAAAAGGAACATATTTTCAAATGCCTCCGTTATGGTTTTTTCTCTTCTCACCTTCACATGTCATAAATACGGGCCATACGCAATAACGAACATGATGTGGTTCTTTGCGTTTCATGTCCCATAACTCACGAAATCTGACTGTTCATTTAAAACCGTTGATAATTAGGAAATAAATTCAAAGAAGCAGCAGCTTTTCCTCCTTTCATTGCTTTTGTCTCATAAGACTATTTAACTTCATAGACCATCTCATCTGGTATGAGTTGACTTTCTGGGATAAATGGTGCAAAGCTACTTTTCATTATTCCATGTAGGCCCAGAATGTGTCACAGAGCAGACTTTGAAGTCACATTATACCTAAGCATAGTAAGAGCTCTTACTCTGTTCAGAAACTTTTAGTCTAAAGATACAAGGTTATGTAATGTATATATGAACCAGTACACTGACAATTAATGAGTTACCATTGCCATAAACTTTGAGGCCTTCACTAACTAGAACTTTTGCATGAAAAAACATATCCAGATAATACAGTCTGCAAGTCTAATCATAAGATTTATGTAACAAAATAACTGATTCAGTTATGCTTTCTACTGTATGCCTGCGTTTTCTGTAGTTGCGTTAAGCCAGATTTTAAGTATGGAAGAATATTTGTTACATGTGATGTACTTACCGTCTCCACAAACCTCTGTTGCTATTAAGTACAGTAAAACACATTAGAAGCAGCGTGTTTACTTGGCTGTATTGAGGCAGATTGTTATCTTTATGATTATTACTTAAATTTCTAACAGTGACACCAATGTGAGTGTTTTGTTCACTTGAACAATTTTTTAATAAATTTCTGATTTTTTGCTGTTTGCAGAGGAAATGTTCTTATCTTCTAAATATTTAATTCACAGAAGTAGGTCATTTTCAACAGAATTAGCTGTATGATTACTATGTGTGTGTAAAGGTGGTTTGTAGTACTTAATAGTTCTGTGTATAGTGGTAACTGAGGGGGGAAATGAGACTCAAATTTTCTGCATCAAAGATGGCTGTGCACTTTCTTCTGCTGACACCTAGTGGTTACAGACAACATTTAATTGGTTTTCTTTCACAGACAATCTTTGTTAAGAGTCATCCTATCACCTGTGAATAAAGGTAAGCTCAGTGTAGGTTGACCAAAAGCAGTAGCATGTAGGGTATGATACAATACAATGTGTTGGGTTTAGGTCTGTGATGCTAGTACAGCTAGCCTAAGCCATATGGGTGCCTTTTCACCTAGCTTGGGTGTGATAGTTTAACAGCAGGCTCCAAGTTTGATATACAAGCTTCTCAAAGGACAAGCTTTCTGTAGGTTCTCTGGATATGTGGTCACTCCAGGGAGCTTTGCAAAGGGAATTGTGTATGCTTAATACAACATTTTCTGGCTTGACAGATTTGAAAAGCTTGTTTACTTGTGCTTTGCTTTAAAATCTGTATACTCTGAACAGGTATTTCTATTTCCACGTCTTGGTTCCTTTTGTGTGTATTTCATTGCCATAAATACACTGTAAGGTGAAAATCTCTGTGCTTATTTTTCTTTTGCAGTGCTGCTACTTTTTGTATCAATAATTAAGGGGGGGGTAATTTTAACATTCAGAACCCAAATAGATATCAGTATCTAAGTGCTTCTGCAGGTAGATTTCTCTTTAACTTTGCTGTTTTGCATTGATAACTTCTTAAATGCAGGCACTGTAATATTTGATGTCTCACGATACAGTACACATGGTATACTGAGGTGAGAAGTATATGTAATGCAACGTGAGCTGAAGTAGCCCGTTTTATTTCTGATACACCACTGAAGAGACATGTCTGTGCATGAGGTTCTGGTGTGTGTTTGGATTTGAATTAAGATGTCCTGGTTTGTTTTTTAAAAGGCTGATGTAGTTTTTGTTAATTTATTAATCTAT